AAATGATAATCACCACCATGAATACACGAGAAAGAACAAACATCACAGGTAAAACAGATGAGAAAGAGAAAGAAACTATATCACACCACCTCAAAAAGCCAACGAATACCGATGACAAACAATAAAAGAGAAAGAAAGGAACAAAAGATATTTCAATCAACAATAAGAAAGCAATTAAATGTCAGGAGTAAGACAATACCTTTCAATAACAACCCTAAATGTAAATGGATTAAATTCCCCACTCAAAACACACAGACTAACTGATTGGAAAAAAAGCTAGACCCAACTATATGCTCTCCACAAGAGACTTACCTCATCCAGAAAGTCACACACAGACTAAAATTGAAGTGATGGAAAAAGGTACACCATACAAATGGAAATGAAAAACGAGCAGGAGTAGCTATCCTTATATAGGATAAAATAGACTTTAAACCAAAAACTGTAAAGAGAGACAAAGAAGGCCATTATACAATGAAAAAGGATCTATCCAGCAATCATAACAGTCATAAATATATATGCACCCAACACTGGAGCACCCAAATATACAAAGCAAATACTATTAGTCCTAATGAAAGAGACAGGCCCCAATACAATAATACAAGTTGGGGACCTGAACACACCTCTCTCGATATTGGACAGATCATCTAGGCAACAAATCAACAGAGAAACACAGGATTTAGACTATACTTTAGACCAAACAGACTTGGCAGAAATCTACAGAACTTTTCTTTTCATCCAACAACTATAGAATATACATTCTTCTCATCAGCACATGGAACATTCTCCAGGATAGAACATATGTTAGGTCACAAATCAAATCTCAACAAATTTTAAAAAACTGAAATCATTTCAGGTATCTTTTCAGACCACAATGGATTAAAACTAGAAATCAGTAACAAGTCAAACTCTGGAAACTATATACACACACAGAAATTAAACAACATGCTCCTGAACGAACTATAGGTCCAAGAAGAAATTAAACAGGAATCAAAAAATTTCTTGAAACTAATGAAAATAAAAACACATCATACCAAAACCTGTGAGATACAGCAAAAGCCATACTAAAAGGAAGTTTATTGCAATAAATGATTACATCAAAAGAATAGAAAGATTTCAAATAAACAACCTGACAATACGTCTCAAAGAACTAGGAAAACAAGAACAATCCAATCCCAAAATTAGTAGACAGAAATAATTAAGATCAGAGTAAAACTAAATGAAATAGAGACCCCAAAAATGGTACAAAAGACCAATGGAACAAAAAATTGTTTTTAAAGAAGGAAAACAAAATAGAAAAACCATTAGCTAGGGTAACTAAAAAAAAGAGGAGAGAAAACCCAAATAACAAAAATTGGAAATGAAAGATGAGACATTACAACTGACACCACAGAAATACAAAGAATCAATAGAGACTATTATAAACAATTACATGCCAACAAATTTGAAGCCCTGGAGGAAATAGATAAATTTCTGGACACATACAAACTACCGAGACTGAACCAAGAAGACACAGAAAACCTGAAGAGACCTATAACAAGCAATGAGACTGAATTAGTAATCAGCAATCTCTCAACAAAGAAAAGCCCAGTACTGGGTGGCTTTACTACTGAATTCTACCAAACCTTTAAAGAGGAATTAATACCGATTCTCTTCAAACTATTCCAAGAAACTGAAATACAGGCCACTCTCCCAAACTCATCCCCAAACCAGACAAAGATACAAAAAAAAAAAAAGAAAACTACAGGTCAATATCTTTGATGAACATAGACACAAAAATTCTAAACAAAATATGCAGCATGATCACGTGGGATTCATCCCAGAGACGCAAGGATGGCTCAAAAGAGACAAGTCAATTAATGTGATACACCACATCAACAAAATCAAGAACAAAAACCATATGATTATCTCAACAGACAGAAAAAGCATTTGACAAAATGCATTAGCCCTTCACAATGAAGACTCTGAGCAAATTAGGTACAGAAGGAATATATCTCAATACAATAAAATCCATATATAACAATCCCACCACCTATATCATGCTGAATGGGGAAAAGCTGAAAGACTTTCCCTTAAGAACAGGAAGAAGACAAGGATGCCCACTATCACTACTTCTGGAAGTACTAGCCAGAGCAATCAGGCAAGAGAAAGAAAATAAAAGGCATCCAGATTGGAAAAGACAAAGTCAAATTGTCCCTATTTGCAGATGATATGACCTTATATAGAGAAAAACCAAAGATTCTACCAAAAAGCTTAGAGCTGATAAACAATTTCATTAAAGTTGCAGGATACAAAGTCAACACACAAAAATCAGTAGCTGTACTCCAACAATCAACTAGAAGAAAAAGAAATGATGAAAGCTAAGCCATTTACAATAGTCACCAAAAAAATAAAATACCTAGCAATCAATCTAACCAAAGTAAATTGATTATACAATGAGAACTACAAATCACTGCTGAATGAAGTTAAAGAGGACATGAAAATATGGGAAGACATTCTATGTTCTACATTCTTGGATTGGAAAAATCAACATTGTGAAAATGTCCATACTACCCAAAGCAATCTACAGATTCAAAGAAGTTTCCATCAAAACACATGATATTCTTCACAAAAATTAAAAAAAACAATACTAACATTCATATGGAACAACAAAAAACCTGACAAAGCAATCTACAGATTCAAAGAAGTTTCCATCAAAACACATGATATTCTTCACAAAAATTTAAAAAAACAATACTAACATTCATATGGAACAACAAAAAACCTGAATAGCGAAGGAAGGAAGGAAGGAAGGAAGGAAGGAAGGAAGGAAGGAAGGAAGGAAGGAAAGCTGGAGGCATTATACTACTTGACCTCAACTTATAATACTACAAAGCTATAGTAACCAAAACAGCATGGTATTAGCATAAAAACAGACACTTGAACCAATGGAACAGAATAGAGAACTCAGAAATCAACCCATATACTTACAACCAACTGATCTTTGACAAAGGCATCAATCACATACACTCGGGAAAAGACTGCCTCCTCAATAAATGGTGCTGGGAAAACCAGACATCTTTAAGTAGAAGAATGAAACTAGACCTGTACCTCTGCTATATAACAAAATCAACTCACAATGGACTAAAGGCTTAAATATGAGACCGGAAACTATAAAAATCCTGAAAGAAAACACAGGGGAAACACTTCAGGAAGTAGGTATGGGCAAAGACTTTACGAATGAGACCCCAAAAGCACAGGCAACAAAAGAAAAAATAAACCAATGGGATTATATCAAACTAAAAAGCTTCTGCACAGCCAAAGAAACAATTAATGGAGTGAAAATACAAACTACAGAATAGGAGAAAATATTTTCAAACCATGCATCCAACAAGAGATTAATATCCAGAAAATACAAAGAACTCAAACAACAGTAAAAAAGCAAATCCTTCTACACTGTGGGTGGGACTGTAAATTAGTACAGCAATTATGGAAAATAGTATGATGTTCACCAAGCAACTACAGATAGAACTTCCATATGACCCAGCCATTCTATTGCTGGGTGTTACCCAAAGGAATGTAAATCATCATGTTAAAATGATATCTGCACTCCCATGTTTATTGTTTATTGCCATGGCCAAGAGTTGGAACCAACCTAAATGTCCATCAATGAACCACTGGATGAGGAAATGTGATGTATACACTCAATGGAATACTACTCTGTCATAAAAAAGAATGAAATTCTGCCATTTGCAGCAACATGGATGAACTTAGAGAAAATTATATTAAGTGAAATAAGCCAGACACAGAAAGAGAAATACCACATGTCCTCACTTGTAAGTGGGAGCTAAAAATAATAATAATGAAAAAAAAAGAAAGATACAAAAATCAAAATAGTACAATGAACTTTCAAAAGGAGAGAACAGAACTGAGGCTACCAGAGCTGGGAAAGGGTAATTATCTTTCAGTCCTGTGAACTTACACTTAGCCTACATTAAGACAAATGAAATAAGACAAGCAAAATAGTAATGCTATGTTTTTATCCCAGACATTCACAGTATTGGCCTTAGCCATGTTAACATTCACTAACGTTTTAAGCAAAAAGCATTAATGAATTTAATAGTAGCTATCAATTTTCCCAATTTTAAGAAACATATTTGAGGCCAAATTGACACCAGCAAAGTCCTTGCCACAGGGAGTCAGCTTTACTCAAGAATTTTTAGGGTGGACTATTTTCATATCACCACATATCAATGGCTAAACCAGAGGCGGAACCTGCCAGCTTGGTGGTAACTGTATTTGAACTCAGGCTCAGTTTAGCTTTACTCCTCTGTCCAATTCTTAACTTTAAAGTTCACATGTATATATGATAATACGAATGATGTTTGGCCAAGCCAGAAGCCAAGATACAGTCAAGGCTTGATGACTCTACCCGACCCCTATGGCTGGATTTCTTGTGTGGGGTAAGCTTATACTCCTTGATACTCCTGATATATTCTCTAGATGACAGTGACACATAATCTTTACTCTCTTGAAATTTGAAACCTAAATAGCAATGTTTTAAAGATTGATTTCTGTTTTATTTTGATAAGGATTTTATTTGTTTCTCTGGACATACTACCTTGTTAGAAAGGGTACCTCGAAGATAAAATGGCAGGTGCTCATAGGTACGTAAGAAGCCTATGCTAGCTTTTTTAAAAAAACAGCATTGTCAGCAGTCATGCCCCTTTCCTCACACAGGCCCATTAGCTCACTCTCAGGGGAATTCCTGGCTAAAATACTCAGTGAATACAAGGGCCAGAAGCAGTGACAACTCACTGGCAAACCACAGTTGCTCAATAAGCAGTCTCCAGAAGCAATCTTCAGCTGCAGTGACTGGAGTGCTCTGAGTGGCATCCAGCTTCATGGCTCCTTTTCCCCCCACGTATTTGTACTCAACAAAGTCACCCATCTCCTCATTAAGATAAGCTGATACACTAGGAAACGAAATATAGAGAAATGTCAACAAATAAAATGGAGAATACCTTGTTCTTAGCTAATTCCTTTTCCAAACTGGATTTTTCTTCTGCTATTTCTTTTTCAGTTGTATTAACCTGGGAAGGGAAAAGAAATGGGTCAATTTTACAGCAGCTGATAGGTGCTACTAGAACAGACACATCCTGCCCATTAATACCTACACTGCAGAGATAGCAAATCCTCTCAGAAAAAGGGCCAATCAGGGAGTCTCTGAGGCAGAGCAGACTTCACAAATAGCCCTGAAATTAGAAAGACACGTCTGCATGTCAGACTCTGCTCATTCCCTCCTAACTAGGAAGACAGGGCTGTTCCCCTTTCAACTCTACTGTCCCACTCTTTCAGGGGAAATCAATTTTTTAAATGTGAACCCTTAAGTAACATGAGGATGTGTGAATTATTAGTTAACTTTCACTAATGCTGTAAAAGGTATACTGTACTACTTGGTATAGACTACTTCACATGCTAAAAAGCCCAGATTAGCCACCTAAAGATTTATTTATGGGCAACTCAGACAAAATGCATTTGGGTTTTATTTCTTTTCTTGACCTATGCACTTAGAGTACAATTATAAGACGATCTCACCACACAACTAGGAGACAGTGCAAATCTGCTTCTACCTACCTCTTTCTCAAGTCTTTCTTTCTCCTCTAGTAGAGACTTCTTCTCTTGCATTGATGCTTCCAATTCACCTCGCAATCTTGCGATAGTTGATTTTAGCAGCTCTTTGTGCACAGTTGTCCTCTTCTCAGCATCCTTCGCTTTCTGGATACACTGGTTATGCTCAAGGATTAAATGGTCCCTGCAGAAAAAGAACGAGGAGATATGAAAGCAAAATGAGAGTTCTACTTTAACAGAAAGAGTGATTAATTGTTCTTATGGAACATATCTCTTGCTTGAGAGCAGTTACCAAGATGTTCTGACAAAACTAGCTTCTTGAGGGCAGAGTCTTTATTTTATCTTTGTAGCTGGCCCAGCAAATGCAGAATTAAACATTTTCACTAACGGTATAAAATACAAATGCAAGAACAAAAGATGCATAAGAAGTTGCCCATAATTTACTTACAGATGTGCTTGGAGTTGGTTTTTCTCATTCTGAACAGTCTGTAGTTCACTTGTGATACTGGCATGGGCTGCATCCAGCAGTAAGTTTTGTTCTTGAAATGTCTGTGTCATCATTTTCTGCTCTACCTGAGTATCAGGATTAATATTACAAGCTGAGATGACAGAAAGTCATTTGATACGGTGTCATTTGTAGGGAACTGATCAAAGACACCGAACTAACTTACTAATTTCCATAAATAAAAGCTCTTTTTAAAATAATTTATTTTAATATCCAGCTTTATCTTTGTCCTGCCCTGAGCTGACTATAATTCTATCATTTTATGATTCTACTAGTCGACAGTCAAGATGCAATATTTACCTAGCCTGCTAAAAAATTTGTAAAAATCCTAATACCAACACATTTTTAAAGATAGAAGATTATATTAAGAATATTTTTAGTATTGTTAAATTTTTATATGATACTTTAAAAAGTAAAACAGTATAAATATATATAAATATAAAGTGAAAAGATCCCTTCATCTCCATCTATACCTCCCTCCAAATAATCCCACTCTGTAGGTATAATCATGTGTAATAGTTTGGTGTGAATTCTTTTGAGAATATCTTAAATTGCACTCAGACACTGTTATGGTAGAATCACTATAACTATTTTGCACAATTTATTTTTTCATGCTCACCATTTTTGAATTATCAAAACATAACATTTTTATACACACATACCCCTAATCTACAATCCATGATGTTTTTGCAAATACAGTACATATTAAAAACTACTTTTGTAAACACATTTAAAAACACTTCTATTTTAACAATATTTGATTACAAAGCAAACTTTCACACATTCTCAACTTGGAAAACTGGGATCCCACTTGTGTTATATTCCAAAATTTTGAAATGTTTGTGACATTGTTACATATGTGATTCAGGCCACTAAATGGTAAATCCACAAAAGTAGGGATTTTTGTTTTGTTCATTGCTATCATCCTATACAGATCTAGCATCATACTTGCACAGAGTAAACACTAAATATTTGTTGAATTAATGAAAAATACTTTTGAGTATTTGTTACGTGCAAAACACATTAAGCACTATGAGAAATAACAAAGATATATAAGGCAATGTCTTTGCTTCTATGAAGCTCACGATGTAATACAGAAAATGAACCATGCACATAAATTACAACTAGAGAATGCAGAATAGGGAGGCAGCATAAGTAATAATTAAAAACATTGACTCCGGACTCAACGTTGGTTTAAATCCAGCTCTACTCCTTACTAGCTTGGTGACTTTGGACATGTTAATTAACTTCTTTAAACCTCATTTTTCTTATCTATAAAATGTGGATAATAAATATCCTTTTACATAATGGCTGCTATAATTAAAGGAGGTAGTATAAGTAAAATACCTAGTGCAATGCTTGATATATAGTAAGTGTGATTTTAAAATGTATAGAGACAGACCTATTATTATAATTGTCTGCTTAGAGTCCTAGGAATAGAGGTTGAAAGGGAAAACTCATCCTTTTAGGTTGAGATGATCAATCTCCCTGATGAAAGTGAGTTTTAAAGAATTAATAGAATTTCAAACAGTTGAAGTAAAGACCATTCTCAGCAAAGAGAATGGCATAAGCGAAATGGAAAATCACGGGGTGTTTGGGGAAAAGGTAAGTACTTTAGGGTCAGTCATAATTGTTCTCTATGATTATATATTGGGACAGCTAATTACTTTTCCTAAAGTAATGATATTTGAGAAGAAAGCATTAAAAAGCACTGAGTATAAGGCCATATCACTCCTCTGATGAAAACTGAAACCACTAATCAAGAAATAAAATAATTCAGCAATTTTTTGGGAATTTATTGTCACAATATTTCGTTTATCCAGTTGATCATGAACATTTACCAATCTCTCAGCCAGGGTGGCTTTCTGCTGACTCTATCAGAAGTTCACTAGTGTTAAACGAATACCTGCAGAATGACTTGATGGTCAGCAATGATTCTGGCTTTTTCCATACTAACAGTCTGAAGCATGCAGTTCAGCTCTGAACACTTTTTAGTCAGTTGGTCATTCAAAACCTAAGACAGCATATACAGCAAGTCATAGGTCTCTCCAATAAAAATTTATTGTCACTTATGTATCATTATTTTTAATGACTGCATATTATCTCACTATATGTGTGAACCTAACTTATTTAACCTATCTCCAATTGACATTTCATTAGTTTATAAAATGCTTTCAAATATTTGGAGTCAACACCCTAAATAATTCCAAATTAAAAGGAGAGAGCAACTGAGGCATATGGCATTTTACTGACTTTCTGTTCTTCACAATTTTGAACACTGATCAATTAGAGCAAGACATCTGCAGAGTGAAATTTACAATGTAGGTGCCTAGCCAATATTATAGAACTCCATTCCCATAATTAGAAGATAAGCATTCAGGGCCGAGCCCGTGGCGCACTCGGGAGAGTGCGGCGCTGGGAGCACAGCAGCACTCCTGCCACAGGTTCAGATCCTATATAGGGATGACCAGTGTGCTCATAGCGCTCACTGGCTGAGCGCGGTGCGACCGGTCTCAAAATGGACAGAAAAAAAAGAAGATAAGCATTCAGAATTGTTTAGCATTCAGGGCCGAGCCCGTGGCGCACTCGGGAGAGTGCGGCGCTGGGAGCACAGCAGCACTACTGCCACAGGTTCAGATCCTATATAGGGATGACCAGTGTGCTCCATAGCGCTCACTGGCTGAGCGCGGTGCGGCCGGTCTCAAAATGGACAGAAAAAAAAGAAGATAAGCATTCAGAATTGTTTAGCAGATAACACAAAATATCTAAGCTTCTTCAACTACAAGAAGCTTCTACCTACTACAGTATTCATAAAAGCAAATATAGATGATTTTACCATCATAAGATTAATCTTTCAATATAAAACAAAAACCTTTTGTACTACAGATCTATTGTACATGTAGTCAGTTAATAATTCTTGTCTTTTGATATTTTGTAATTTGCATTCTTGTGAAAAACATTTATCTTAATTATGTTACTTTTGCAAGATAGATTTAGCATGGATCTTATGTTTTAATGAACAAGCTCTTCAAGGAAAAAGAAATAACTTTGACGGAGTAATAGGAAAAAAATACAAAAAATAAAATGGTAACAAAGAAAATATAAATGAAAGATTATCTAGCAAGCATCATAAGTGGTATGATAGTACAGGAGTTAAAAACATATTCAGGACATGTTAAAGTCATAACCAGACGTACAAACTATTCATCAAGGAATATCCAGGTGTAAGACAGGAGAACTCTTGCTCCTTGAACAGAAGTAGCTAATTTTCTTTAGAGTAAACTTACATGAGCTCAAATTCCAACTCTGCCACTTATTAGCAAAGTTACTGAACCTCTGTATATCAGCTCCTTTATTTTTAAAATGTGAATAATATTTTCTATTTCATAGAACTATTACAAGAATTAAAATTCATTAGTTACATGAGGTGCTTAAAATTGTTCCTGAATTGTGGCATAGGTTCGGTAAAAATATTAACTACTATTAGTATAGGAAGAGTAGTTGTAGTTATTATTTTATAAAAGAACAATTTTATCTTGCTTTTTCTTTATTATAAAGGGCACAGCAATGCTATGAATCTAACATTGACATAATCAAATTGTACCAATAGAAAAGTTATTTTAAGTGATAAACACTACGAGGGGTCTTCAAAATATTCATGGAAAGATTTGTATTATCTTTTAACTCTATTTTTCCATTAACTTCTTGAAGTACCCTTGTATTTCATTGGGCCTTGTGATAAATAACTCCAGTTTGTCTGCATATTTGGTGACTATTCTTGATATACATGCGTATATATATATATGTTTTTTAATATATATAACATCGGCTAAATTTGGGGACCATCCTCCTGCAGAAAATGATTACGCATAACTCCAAGATCCAGCAAACCATTTCTTAGGTTCCTACTGTGCTATATGCTATAGAAGTTACAAAGAAAGTGTAAGACATAGCCCTTGCTATTGAACTCCTTAGAAGTTCATTATGGAAGACAAAAAAGGTAGGGGCTGGCCGATTAGCTCAGTTGGTTAGAGCGTGGTGTTGATAACATCAAGGTTCAGGTTTCAATCCCTGCAGTGGCCAGCCCAAAAAAAAAAAAAAAAAAAAAAGTATATATTTAATGAGTAAATTAAAAAGCAAATAAAGGCAAAGTATAAACTAGTACATAATTTAGTGGAACATCTTGTATACCTATGTGTCATAGGAATGTGGAGAGTGAAATGAGAAATGTAGCTAATCTAATAATGCTGCTTAGATAAAGAAAGTCTTATGGAAATAAAAAATTGAAAAATAGAGATGGTATAAATTTATATAATCAAATTAATCTTTGTTCTTTAATTGAACAAAATTAAGTAATATATAAAAACTAGAGAAATGGTGAAGATTTACCTGTGCTTTTTCTGATGCTTCATGAAGGGACATTATTTCAGATCTCAAACATGCATTTTCTTCGTGTTCCTTGTTGAAAGACATCTGCATATTCTATAGGGGGAAATAAAGAATTACTCTCTTTTTCACACTAAGAGACAGTACATGTATTTCTATAAAAATACCTGCTCTGTATTTTGGCCAGTACCAGTTCATGTTCTAATGATATACACATATAAGCATCGTCTAAAATTTTAAAACAGAATCTTGATATCTTCAACTCCCAAACTTCTTTTTATTCTTAATTTGTCAAAACTGTTTATTTAAAACAAGAAGATATCACTACACACCTATTAGAATGGCCAATCCAGATCTCTGACAATACCAACTGCTTGCGAGGAGCAACAAGATCTCTCATTCATTGCTGGTTGGGAATGCAAAATTGTACAGCCACTTTGGAAGACAGTTTGGTAGTTTCTTACAAAACTAGACATATTCTTAACCATTTGATCCAGTAATTGTGCTCCTTGGTATTTACTCACAGGAGTTGAAACTTATGGCCATACAAAGATCTGCACACACATGTTTATAGCAGTTTTATTCATAATTGCCAAAACTTGAAGCAATCAAGATGTCCTTCAACGGGTTAATGGATAAACTGTAGTACCTCCAGACAATGGAATATTATTCAGCACTAAAAAGAAATGAGCTATCAAGCCATCAAAAGACATGGAGGAAACTTAAATGCTTATTATTAAATAAAAGAAACGTGTCTGAAAAGTCTACATACTGTAGGATTCTGACTATATGACATCCTGGAAAAGGCGAATCTATGGAGACAGTAAAAAGATCAGTGGCTGCCAGGGGTTAGGAAGGAGGGAGGGATAAAAGGTACAGCACAGAGGATTTTTAGGGCAGTGAAAGTACTCTGATACTGTAATGGTGGGTATATGTCACTGTACATTTGCCCATATCCATAAAATGTACAGTACTAAGTGCGAACCCTAATGTAAACTATGAACTTTGGATGATAATGATGTGTCAATGTGGGTTCATCAATTGTAATAACGTACCACTCTGGTGGGGAATGTTGATAATGAGAGAAGCTATGCATGTGTGAGATATATGGGAAATATTTGTACCTTCTCAATTTTGCTGTAAACCTAAAACTGCTCTAAAATATAAAGTCTATTCTTAAAAAACAGTATATTAAATCTATTCTAATATTGGGATTCCAACTAGAAAGAATTTGTCTAAAACCATTACCTAAATATATACCAAGTATTCTTATAACAAGGAAGTTCTAAGATTAAGTATTTGTTATATTATACACACACTTTTTCCAATTAGCAGTAAGATCTTGTGATTTTAAAGGTACATATTCAGGGGTCTTTTAAAGTTATAAGAAAGTGACATATTTTCATGAAGCAGTACCTGGAAGTGGAGCAGGGAGTGGTGGGTGTGGACAGGGAAAATAGTTCTCTTTGGGATGGGAGAAAGGTAATTGTGAGTTGTAGGTTGGGCTTTCCCTAACAGGTACTTAGTAGAATGGGAAAGGACAGATTATAAACCTTCTCCCTACAAAGAGAACCACTTTTCTGTTTTCCCACAAGAAGCATCTCAAGAAAGGGAAACAATATATAACACAGGATTGAGATAGCATCCAGAAAAACTATTCTAAATAGGATTTATACATCAAGACATTAATTTAGAAATGTAATAAGATATAAAATCAGTTTATATATTTTTTTCATTTTTTAATTATAGTAAAATATACATAACAAAATTTATCATTCTAAACATTTTTAAGTGTATAGTTTAGTGGCATTAAATACATTCACACTGTTATGCAACCACCATGACCAAGAAGTAGTTATATTTCTTACATCTTTAAAATGTTTCTTTAGGGCGGCTCTTGGCTCACTCGGGAGAGTGTGGTGCTGATAAAATGTTTCTTTAATTTATAACAATTAGTTTGCAATAGGCAAAAAACACAAATGTCGCATTATTTTCATCAATTCACCTTTCAAACTATAATAATCTGCATAAGTTGACTTCTTAGTTCCTAATATACCCAGTATTACCCTGATTATACAACTCATTTACATGAAACATTTTTATATATAGCTTTTAGCAGAATCAAGACTGTAAAGCAACATGAACAAGGAAATATAACTTAGTAAAGAGAGAAGAGACCATCTTTGTACTCTCAAAACTTACCTTATTTTCTTCAACCAACTTGGAAATGAGGTCATCTCTAGAAACTAAAAACGAAAGGTCCACATAAGTATGGCAATAATAACTTACTGCTTGAAATCACATAGAATTTTTTTTTCCTGAGAAGCTTTAATTTTTTTTAGTCTATATTTTACAGAAACAAGGATACCCAAGTATTTCTATGACATTTTTATAGAGTAGAAACTAAGTTATCAAGAAAATATGCCACAGTATACAATATAAATGTCATACACGAGGTCACATTTCACTTGATATGTAGATGAGTCTCTGAAGGATTTTAAGCCTGGGTGGGACGTGGTCAAAGAATTTTGTTATTAAATCTATTAGAGATTGTAAGATAAATCACTCTAACAAACGTTTGACAAAGGCAGGGAGGTTAGTTCAGTAGTTGTTGCAGTAACTGAAGTGTAAAAGAATGAAGGCTGGCTCTAATTGTTAGCAATGACAATGGAGAGGCAGAGGAAAAACCGACTTGTGAAAGAGTAAGCAGAGGGGATTGTCAGGACATGGTGGCTTACTGGGGGAGCATAAAATCAATAGATGAGTCACGGAGAACATTGGGCACTCAGACTTGGGCAGCAGAGTGGAGGGTGGACTCTTCAACTAGGCAGGGAAGATGAGACAAGGAGCAGGTTTGGGGGACAGAATGAGTGAGAATGAGTGAAATACTTAAGTTTTCCATGTGTTTTGACATATCTGCAGGGTATCCAATACAATACTGATTTAGAGCTCAGAAGAATGATTTCGTGTCGGGGGAAAAAAGACTTGAAACCACTCAGAGAGTACAGACAGTGAAAAAAAGAAAACCACAGACAGAAAATTAGGGAATAGTTTGGCAATGTATAGTCATAACCAAAAGATATAAACGTTTCTGAGAGTAATACTTTGGCTTCATAGAAAAATTCATAAAGATCTATTATTTTTCTTTTACTTAAATATTCTAAAGCCAGAAAATTACAAAATACATAAAAACTCACATTTTATATAGGATGTAACTTAGAAAAAAGTATACTTTTTGAACACATATGTCCATGACTCAGAGTAAACTCTAATTTAAAATATGTAAAGGTTTAAGAAAACAAACCATATGACCTATTTTGAAAATTCTCCTAGTCAAAGTAAGAATGAAAAGAGAGTGCTTATCTTATTTGGGATAACAACTTAATCACTGTAAGGAGTATATTTACATATGTATACAAATGTTTATTGTTAATAAATTTAATAAACAATTATATTTTTAAATTCATTAAAGCAAATATTTAAAGGCATTATTTTTATTAATCCAGTTAGAATAACTATTTGTACATTAAAGTAATAAAATTGCACATACGTAAAGTCTATAATTCAATACTAAGCACATAGTTGGTATTCAGAAGGCTTCCTTTCCCTCATGTTAGTTATAAATTATCGTTGTTTTAATCTTCACTTTTTAAATGGTCTTCCACATATACTTTACAAAATCAAAAAATAAAGTATCAATTCAATGAGAAAGTAACATAAAAAAAACTCAATCAGAGGACCAACTAAAATAATAAAGAAATTTGTGTTTTAGCCCCAGCAATTCTGTTTGCTGTGGGTCCTTGGATACAGTCTCTCTGTATCTTTTTATTCTTCTGTAGAACAGGTATATTTTATCTTTCTGGCAAGGCTGTTGTAAGGCTTGAATAAAATAATGCGGCAGCACCATAAAATGTAACATGTATTTTTGTAGGCATGCAATCATAGGAAGACAGAAAATTATCTTGGGGCATTGTCGGTGAGAACTTCACATAGAAATTCACTACCCATCAACTATAAAGAAAAGGAGTATTTTCTGCTAAAAGCAATAAGTCAAAACATCGAATGGTGGTATGGATTAAATGTGTCCCCCAAAGGTTCATGTATTGGTAACTTAATCCCCACTGTGACAGTGTTGAGAGGGTGAGAAATCCTATTATGGTAATTGAAAGGTGGGGCCTTTAAGAGGTGATTAGATTGTGAGAACTGTGCCCTTGTGAATGGATTAATCTATTGGCAGTTTAATGGGTGGTAATGAGAGTGGTTATGATGGTTTTAAAGGAGAGCCAAGTGAGGTTAGCTCCCTCTTGCTCAGCCCATTGACCATGTGATAACCTGCATTGCTTTGGAGAGTCACCACCCACAAGAAGGCCCTCACCAGATGTATTACCTGGACTTTGGACTTCCCAGCCTCTGAAACCGTAAAAAATAAATTATATTTCTTTATAAATTACCCAGTTTCAGGTATTTTGTTATAAGCAACAGAAATGCGCTAACACAAACACATTACTCTTTGCTTTATGTTTTATAATTTTCATTTCCCTTTTCTTATTCCCTGTCCCCATTATAGCCACAGAGTAGAGAGTGTACTGGAAAGAACACTGGGCTTAGAGTTAGAAGATCCAGGTTCAAACTTCACACCATCATTTTTTCCTTTTGTAACTTTGGGAAGTATGGATAGCTTTGAGTATTAAATGAGATAATTTATCTGAAAGCTCTGTGTAAACACAAAGTATTAACCATGTGGGGCACTGTACTGTAACTCTCTATGATCTCTATAGTTGAGACAATCTGAAAACTGCTTTACAATGACATATTAACAATAGTAGTATGATAAAGGGCTGATCGGTTGGAAGAAGCAAGATTCTGAGCAACTTCAGATCAAGTCTAGGCTCTTTCATTGTTTAGCTCTGTCACCTCTGAGGACTTAACTGTAAGATGAGGAAATTAATCTAAGCTCTCTTTAAGGTACCTTACAACAATCCATCTCTACAAATATAGGTTAATCAAAATAGACTGATAACCTGAAGAATGGAGAGTCTGACATGATGAACTGATAGAATCGGTGAGTAAGGATTAATAGCCTTATTTCCTTACTAACATTTTATTATACAATATTCAATCTAATTGTCTAGAAACCAAATGTTCTCTCAAATCCACAAACACTTAAATAAGCCTGGGGGGGGGGAAACTAAATAAAGAATAGTTACAATTAAGAAGGTCAAATTGTTTTATAACCAACATTCCTTTTTGTCTCAGTACCACAGGTAGAAAGGAAATCAGCAATTTTTTATATGTGGAACTTTGGGAAATACCAATAACATCAGCAACTTCAAGAATTTGGGATCTTAAGGATTTTTGCCTGAAATCTCAAAAGATTAACGAAAGTGTATTTTCTAGCATGTATTTTCATACTTAGATCAGACTTGAGCTGTGAGGTAGCAGTCTCCAACTCCTCTTTTTGTTGTTGTTCTTGTGCCAGAAGTTCTTGGGTAGTCTGTATAGAGCTGCGCAGGGCAATGCTGTTTTGTTGCAAAATGTGCACCTGAAATTGTATAAGAAAAACTCCTTTTCTGTAAGGTAAGGTTTTCTAATAAACTATGTTATAGTACATGTGTAAGGCAGAATTTCCAATCTTAATGTCACTGAAGGGAAAAAAGGAGTTTGTCAATATGTTTTAGTTAAAATTTCAACAGAATGCAGTGCCTTATAGCAGTACCATCCAACAGAACTTTCTGTGCAACTCTCCAAAACAAGTCACTAGCCACAAGAGGTTACTGAGCACTTGAAATGTGGCCAGAGTGACTGAGGAGTGGAATCTTTAATTTTAATTTTAACTAATTTAGATTTAAATACCATATGTGGCTAATGGCTACCATATTGGCAAAACAAGTTATAGCAATAAAGGATCACTTGTAAATTCCTTAAGTAGAATTCTTTTTATAATCCAGTTGTGGAGAACAGCAATTGGTTAAAATAATAAAGATTATAAAATCCAATTACAGCTATCAAAATATGAAAGTACTGATTGCCTTAGATAGTTCGAATTTAAAGTATTCTAAATTACATGTAAGTACTTCAAATAACAACAAAAATGAAGGCAAAAATACTGTGCTAATAAAAATAATGGTAATTGAAAACATCAGTGTAAACATGTTCCTGGTTGTTTTACTAATTCATATTCTTTGCTTCAAGTGTTAGCTTACTTTAGTCATTATTTTCTACCTATGTTACATACATATGGCATGAAACCAAGGCAATGCCTTTAAAAATCAATGCCTATAACAGAGGTTGTATAGCACCGGGGAAGTATACTGTACCAGCAGCTTAGAGTTTACCCCTACAAGCCTGAGGCGGATTAACCTCTCTGGCCCTTAGCTCCCTTATTCATAAATTAATAAGAGTATTGGATTAAATGACATTAGAGTTCTTCATTATTTTGCACTAATTTTTTTAAAAAATTGTACTGAGAATGTTAACAGACTACTAAAGAAAAATAAATAATTTTATAAATCTAGAGGAAATTAGCAAAATTATAAGTTTATAGGTAAAATATCAGCTTTTCTTTTTTGGTTTCATCTCCCTAACAAATAAGAAGAGGAAATTTTTCTACCTGTTTTCGTTCTGTCTCCACTGCTGATCCCATTTCTTGTATTTTGAGTAGCATGGCTGATCCAGATTTCTCAAGAGAGTCCCTGAAGTGCTTCTCCTGAGCCAGTTGTCTCTTTAGCTACAGAGCAACACTGCTGTTAGGCAAAGCCAACTGAACATCAAACCAGTTTAACAAAGATCAAAGTTACCATGAAAAGCTTACCGAACATGCCATCTCACACCCAAACAATCTCCATTCGTTTATGCTTACTCAGAAACATGCTTTTCTTTCTCCCTAATGCATAATAACCTTCTAAAAAACACAGTCACATTTGTTGCCATCATCTTCCTATTAAGTCTGTTTTCCAAATTGGGGTTCAAGACCGATCAGTAAGTTGCAAGTAGTACTTAGAAAAAGGAAAAAGAAGAGTAAAATGGAATACAAAGGAAATAGGGCACATAACAAGTAGTAAGGGTAAGTATTTCTTTGTGAAATTTGTGTGTATATATATGTGTATATGATGTTGTAGTGTAAAATATGTCTTACAATGGATTGTCAAAAAAGTTTGAAAAACACTAGTATTATACCTTAGTGTCTATTTTCTGTATTTTCTGGCTTTATTTTTCAACTTTTATTTTCCTTTATTTTGATTTTTTTCATCTATGTATTTGGTAGGGGGCTCATCCAGGATTATTTTTTATCCTGTAGTATTATAAACATATCTCTGAAAGCTGTTTCAATTTTGTTTTGGAACTTAAAAGTCTAAAGAAATGATGAAGGAACTGTTAAGCAGCAGACAAAACAGACACCCAAGAATTTGGGTACTGTAATATTATGATATAATAAGAAATATATATTTGGTTTCTGCCCTGGTTCCTGGCACATAGCTCCTAACTCTTGGAATCTCCTGGTAACACTGTCTTTCACACGTCTTTCATAGGGCCCCTAGATAGTTTCAGAATGGAGAGGCTGGTCACCAGAAAGACCAAGACATGATTAGAGGGTTGGGACTTTCAGCCCCACCCTGAGTGATTCGGGGAGTAGAGAGGGTCTGAAGGCTGAGTTGATCACCAATGGTCAATGACATAATCAATCATTCCTACATAATGAAGCCTCCATAAAACCCCCAAAAGACAGGGTTTAGATGAGCTTCCAGATAGCTAAAAACGTGGAGGTGTCTGGAGAATGGCATGCTAGAAGAGGAAATGGAAGCATCACCTCCTTTCCCACATGCCTTGCCATATGCATCTCTTCCATTTGGCTATTCTTCTGTATCCTTTGTAATATCCTTTATAATAAATGGGTAAACGTAAGTAAAGTGTCACCCTGAGTTCTGTGAGCCGCTCTAGCAAATTAATCAAACCCAAGGAGGGGACTGTGGGAACCGTGATTCATAGCCAGTTGATCAGAAGCACAGGTCACAACCTGGGGCTTGCAAATGGCATGTGAAGTGATGAGGGTGGTGATGGCAGTCTTATGGGACTGAGCACATAATCTGCTATCTCCAGATACTGTCAGAATTGAATCATAGGGCACCCAGCTGGTGTCCACTGGAGAACAGAATTTCTTAGTATGTGGGGAGAAAACCCCACACACCTGGTGTCAGAAGAGTTGTGCTGTGTGATATGTAAGAGTAGAAAACGCTTTTTTTTTTCTTTTTCAAAGGTACACTGACCTTTTTACTGTCAATAAATGACTATAAAATGAATCAGGTAAAAATATAAAGAAGGTTGAGTCTTTTTTTATTATGAGGTCGAAAGATCCTTTCCAACTTAAATGGGTATTACAGAGAATGCTATTCCTCTTATAAAGTGATGTTAAACTGAAAGTCTATTTTTAAACCCTAGTGAGGATGACATAAGAGTACAGTTCATAACTATTATCTGAATTGTAAAATATAAAACACTTCATAAAATATATATGTACATAAAAATATATTGTACAATTTAGTACATCCAAACTGGACATCCAAAAAATTAATCTAGACACGGACCTTACACCTTTCATAAACATGAACTCAAAATGAATGAAAGACCTAAGTGTAAAATGCAAAACTATAAAACTTCTAAAAGATAACATAAGAAAAATTTTAGGTGATTTGGGTTTGTCAATGACTTTTTAGATACAACACCAAAATCACAGTCTATGAAAAAAAATTTTGATAAGTTGAACATCATTTAAATTAAAAGCTTCTTAACTGTGAAAATACTGTTAACAAAATGAGGAGAAAAGCTACAGACTGGGAGAAAATATTTGTACACACATATTTGATAAAGGACGGGTATCAAAAATATTCAAAAAAGTTTTAAAACTCAACAATAAGAACACAAACAATCCCATTACAAAATGGGCAAAAGTTCTAACAGATACCTCACCAAAGAAAATATACAGATGGCAAATAAGCATTATGAAAAGACTCTCAATGTCTTATGCCACTATGGAATTGCAAATTAAAACAAGATACCACTACACACCTCTTAGAATGGAACAAATTCAAAACACTGACAACACCAAATGCTGGTGAGGATATGGAGCAACAACTCATTCCGTGCTGGTAGGAATGCAAAATAGTACAGCCATTTTAGACAGATTGGCAGTTTATTACAAAGCTAAACATAGGCTTACCATAGGATCCAGTAATTGCACTCATAGATGTATACCTGAGTGAGCTGAAAACTTATGTCCACACAAAAACCTGCACACAATGTTTATAGTAACTTCATCATAATTACCAAAATTATTCATAATTGTCAAAAATTAGAAGCAACCATGCTTCTAATTTAAAATGCCCTTTAATAAGTTAATGGATAAACAAATTGTGGTACATACAATGGAATATTGTTCATCAATAAAAAGAAATGAGATATCAAGCCATGAAAAGACATGAAGGAACTTTAAATGCATTTACTAAGTGAAAGAAGCCAGTCCAAAAAAGCTGAATACTGTATGATTCCAATGATAACAAAACTATAGAGACAATGAACAGATCAGTGGTTGCCAGGGGCTCAGGGAAGAGGCAGGGAGGGATGAGTATGTGGAGCACAGGTCATTTTTAGGGCAGTAAGACTATTCTGTATAATCCTATAATGGTGAATACACGGCATTATGCATTTGTCAACATCCACAGAACTATACAGCACAAAGAATAAATTCTTTTTTTTTTTTTTTCCTAAGATGACCGGTAAGGGGATCTTAACCCTTGACTTGGTGTTGTCAGCACCACGCTCACCCAGTGAGCAAACCGGCCATCCCTATATAGGATCCGAACCCATGGCCTTGGTGTTGTCAGCACCGCACTCTCCCGAGTGAGCCACGGGGCCGGCCCAAGAATAAATTCTAATATAAACTGTGGACTTTAGTTAAATGATGTATCAATGTTGGTTTATCAAATGTAACAAAAGTACCACACTAATGTAAAATGTGAATAAGGGGAAACTGGGGGTGGGGGAAGCGGGTATAGAGGAACTCTGTGTCTTCTGTACAATTTTTCTGTAAACTTAAAACTGCTCTAAAAAAAATAAGGTCTATTGAAATATCTAAAAAAAATTTTTTAAAAACCTTAATACATTCTAACTAACTATAAACAATCATGCTTTTATTAGTAATTACTGGCAAATAAAGCACTCTACATAAGAGAATTTCCAGATAGCTGTGTTTACCACTTAAGCACTAATATTTATAATTTTAAAAATAGTTTTGCAAGAGAATTTTCCTAAAAAATTTCTACTTCTCTGTTTTATATAACAGAATCTTTTGAATAAAATTTGACTATAGATTTGGATTAACTTCAATACTATTCTGTCAGGGAATATTGAGGTTTTTAGGCCATTATCACAGTATACTGAGTAAGTAATTCTTCAGACTCTTTCACTGATTTGACCTGAAAATTTTTAGTCTAACAGCTTTTTGCAGCCACCTACTTTATAATTTCCAATTTGTTATCTACTAAAACTTGGGCTGAAAAGAAGGTTTCAGGGTAAAACTAGATGAACAGATTTATTAAAAGATTTTTTTTTTATCATAAACATAACTTTAGATTAAAAGGGCTTTGCCTGAAGTTGTCCTCTTAACTGTAGTACACAGGCAACCACATGTGATAACTATTTTCCTCCTAGCTCTGCAGCACTTATTTTCTGTTTCTAGTTTTATAGCAGTATTGAGGCAAAAGGAAGTCAATGTCATGTAAGGGCAGGCACTTTCACTTGAATTCCACGTGGCACATTTTTTAAATGTTCCTACTACACAGTCACATATTTTTTTCTTCAAACATTTCTTTTCATTCTCTTTTTCTACTTTCTCGGTTTCCCCTCTGCTATCCCAATACCTCCTCTACCTCCAGCATCTTTTTATCTTACCTCCTGAATTTTAAGGTTCATTTTACGTTTTGTGGTCTTCAGTTCGTCTTCAATAACGGCTGCATTCTTCTAAAAGTAGAAGGAAAAAAAGTTCTAAATAATCTGAAATGACAGGAAGAAATTGTCTATAGTTGTATAAGTTCAAATCTAGTCATTTTTCTGGCAACTTATAAATGCCATTTTTAATATAGTTATAAGTATTCCTTATTATAAGTCTAAAGTAATTATTACCATAAGCTATTGTAAAAGAATGTTATTACTTTGATTCATAACTTCTATCATTTCTGCTTCTATATCATAGTGATTAATCAAACCCACCTCCTACATAAAATTCAATAGTCAGAGGATAATCTGGTAGCTGATAGATATTTTTCTTACATGGTATATTCCTTTTTTTTTTTTTTTAAGAACTCTATTTCTTCTAGCTTCAAATACTCTTCATGCTTAGGAGTACAGGATAGAAAAACTCATCTTTCACTACTTGTTCTCTTTTTTTATTATTAATGGCACCACAATCCCAGATGTAAAACCTCAGAGTTGTCTTTGCCTGCTTCCCTACCTTCAGCCCCTACCCAGTACCATATTCTAGCATATCTTTCCTCTCAGAATACCCCTCTTTTCAAAATGCCAAAACCCTAGGTCAGACCTAAGAATGCAATGAATTCATAATTGGTTTCCCTGCCTCTTATCTCTTATGCCTATAATCAATACTCTATACGCCAAGTTAGTTTTCCTGTTTTCATTATGTCACTTCTGTATCTTACTGACTCCCCACAGATTGAGCCCAGCTACTGATTACTCTTGATTCTGATATGCTCTACAATGTGCTCTCTAGCTAATATATAACTTGTTTTCCACAAATAAACCTCACTTCTGTCAGGCGAGTTTACACATTTCTCCCTAATTACACCCAGTGAAAAGATCTAAGTTCAAACTGGGTTTCAGGAAGAAGACAGGCATATGTGTGATCTTGTAGAAATGACTTCTCTCTGGGTCCCAATACACTTATTGCTAAAAATAGGGACAATAATATCTTGCTTCCCAAAGTTTTACAAAGATTAAACAAAACAACACATTGAACATCTATTACATAGCCTGGCCCATGGAGGGAAAACAGTATTGTTAGTTTCTTTTCCTAGCAGTCCTTATTCTTTGCTGCCTCTGTGTGTGTTCCTCGAAATGTTCTTACTCCTTCACTTTACCTTCTAAAGGTTCAGCTCAAGTCTCATCTCTTTCCTGAAGCCTACCTAATCTATTCTAGACAGAGTATCCTCACCTTCTTTTACACGTTTGACTGCAAAGCCCTTACTCTGAAATCTTACTGTCCTATACCATTTCCTATACTCTTATTTCTTCCCTATTTAATTTTTCATTCTATGCCTTATTATCCCAACTATAAGCTCTTGAAGTCTTGAAGAGCACAGACTCTAGCCTTTTTTCTTTTTTTTTGGTGGCTGGCCAGTACGGGGATCCAAACCTTTGATCTTGGTGTTACCAAGACCACACTCTAACCAACCGAGCTAACCAGCCAGCCCTTACAGACTCTAACTCATACCTCTGCATCCTCACTGTCACCTGTGCAGGGTAAGGGCTCTATAAATAATCGATCACTGATAGCACACAGTGGTTTAGGTTATCAATGCATATATATTTCAAATGCCAAGAACACTCAAATCATCATCACCTATTTTTTTTTTTCCTTTTTGTCTTTTTTCGTGTCCAGCAACGGATTGCAACCCTCAGTGTTGCGCCCGTACCGGACTGGGACCGGCAACGGGATCACAACCCTCCATGTCGCACCCGCATCTCGCTCAGCCAGTGAGCGGGAACCGGTCTGTATGTGGGATCCGAACCCTCGGCGGGAGTGCCACTGCGCTCACAAGCGGCGCACTGTAGCAGTGCGCCACCGGGCCGGCCCCATCATCACCTATTTTAAACATCACCTATTTTTAAAAGTTAGTTTTATGGGTCTGTTGCCTCCTCCAGCTAACCATAACAGTGAGTTTATGCTTCAGAACTCTGGATTCAAACCTTTGTCTCTGAGGCTAACTCCAGAGTGGTAGTCAACCGTTGTACTTCATCTTGTGCTTTGTCTTCTTCCTTTTTCACATGTCTCAGTTGCTGGCGCAAATTCATTACTTCGAGATGCAACAGTTTCAGGTCTTTGGAATGTTCCTCCTGTATTGTATTCAGTCGATCCTTCAGAAAATCTACCAGACAGCAGAGGAGGGGCATCAAGCAATAGAAAGAAGGTTAGTAAAGGAAAAGAATCATAAATTCATCAAGCACCCACACAGGAACCGAATTTCTGATGATTCTCCTCTCTATACCTGTTTTCTGTGGATTCAAATCCTTTTCAGTTTGCAGACGAAAGATGTTCATCTTCAAGGACTGGATGAGGCTTTCTAGGTGGCACATTCGATTTACCAGAAAGTCACAGTTCTTCCATAAAATATCTGTTTTTCCTGAACTAATTACTTCATTCTTGATAGGACTCAGGACTCTCTGGCTGGCAGGGTCTTCTAAACAGTTTGGAGCTTCCTGTTGGCCTCTGGACAAAGATCCCAATATAACAATATTGTGCATTGCAATTTGTAATATAGCAATCACAACCATTGAGTCAATGTAACATTTCTAATCAGAATAATAATTAGAGAATGACTTCAGCAACATGGTGGAATAAGAGACTCCTGACTCTCCCTCCACACTTGGACTCACTGAATAAACATCTACACAGATCAATTCCCTCTGAGAGAAAGTCAGAAACTAGTTGACTCTTCTGCACCCTGCGACTGAGAAAATATTCACATCAAACAGGTAGGAAAAGTGGAAGCACACATGGGCACAAACCCCACCCTGGGAACTGCACCATACAATCAAGAAGGAATCGCCAACAAGTAGCTTCTCCCTGAGGAGAGAAGGGTACGAACCACACATATGGCACCCTAACTCTAAGGTTCCCCACAGTTTGGATCATTAGGCATACACAAGTCTCCCTAGATCATAGAATAAAGTAGCAGCTACACACAGGCACACAGCATTTCCAGGAACTTCATTCCCTGGGATCAGGGCAGAGAAGGGGCTAAAACTCAAAGTTCCCAGTTACCGGTCACAAAAAAAAAAAAAAAAAAAAAAAAAAAAAAAAAGAAGAGCAATGCAAGAACACACTGAGAATTCCAAGAAAGAGAGAGAAAGTATATAAAAGTACCAAATGGAAATCATTACAGCTAAAGAAGACAATAATTGAACTGAAAAATTCAAATGGGGGGCTCAACAATAGATTAGATCAAGTGGAAGAAGATTAGTGAACTTGAAGACAGGTCACTAAAATCATCCAATCTCAGAAGGAAAAAAAAAGAATGAAAAAGAGTGAAGCTAGTTTAAGGGATTTATGGAATACCATCAATCAGAACAATTTATGCATTACCATAATTACAGAAGGAGAAGAGAGAGAGAAAAGGATAGAAAACATATTCAAAGAAATAATGGCAGAAAACTTCCCAAGCCTGGGGAAGGAAATAGAAATCCAGATCCAGGAAACCTAATAAACACCAAATAGGATAAATCCAAAGAGTCCCACATAGAGACACATTATATTCAAATTGTCAAAAGTTAAAGACAAAGACAGAACTTTAAAAGCAGCAAGGGAAAAGCAACTTGTTACATACAAGGGAATACCTATAAAACTATCACTAAAGTTTTCAACAGAAACCTAGCAGGCCAGAAGGGAGTGAGTGGGAAACATATTCAAAATCCTGAAAGGAAAAAAAATACCAACCAAGAATACTATACCCAACAATCCTGTCTTTCAAAAATGATGGGGAGATAAAGATTTTCTCAAGCAAAAGATGGAGTTTATCACCATTAGAGACCTGCCTTACAAAAAATGCTAAAGGGAGCTCTTTAAGCTCAAGGAAAAAGACACTAATTAGTGACATAAAAACATAAAAAAGTATAAAACTCACTGGTAAAAGTAAGTACATCGTCAAATTCAAAACACTCTAATACCAAAATGGCAGTTTGTAAATCAATTATATCCCTAGTATAAAGGTTAAAAGACAAAACTATTAAAAACAACAATAGCTACAATAATTTGTTAAGGGATACAAATTATAAAAATATGTAGATTGTGACATCAAAAACATAAAATGTCGGGGGGAATGTAGTTTGTGCATGCAATTGAAATTAAGTTACCAGCTTAAAATAGGCAGTTATAAGTATAAAATGTTTTATGTAAGCCTCAGGGTAACCACAAAACAAAAACCTAGTAGACACACAAAAGATAAAAAGAAAAAAAGATTCAAAGCATACAATTACAGGAAAACATCAAACCACAAGGAAGAAAACTAAAGAAGAAGAAAGGAACAAGGACCTATAAAACAACCAGAAAACAATTAACAAAATAGCATTAGCAAATCCTTACATGTAAATAATTACTTTGAATGCAAATAGACTAAATTCTCCAATCAAAAGACACAAAGTAGAGAAATGAATTTAAAAAAAAAAAAAGACCCAACTATATGTTGCCTATATGAGACTCACTTCACCTTAAAAGGACACTTACAGACTAAAAGTAAAAGAATGTTGAAAGATATTCAATGGAAATGGAGACCAAAAGGGAGCAAAAATAGCAATACTTATATCAGAATAGAGTTTAAGTCAAAAATTGTAAAAAGATTATAACACCAAGGTCCAGGGTTCAGATCCCTGTATCAGCCAGCTGCCAAAAACAAACAATAAAACAAAATAAAATAAAAAATTGTAAAAAGAGACAAAGAAGTCAGAATAGAGTTTAAGTCAAAAATTGTAAAAAGATTATAACACCAAGGTCCAGGGTTCAGAGCCCTGTATCAGCCAGCTGCCAAAAACAAACAATAAAATAAAATAAAATAAAAAATTGTAAAAAGAGACAAAGAAGATCATTATAAAGTGATAAAGAAGTCAACTCATCAACAGGATATAATAATTGTAAATAAACATATGTCTAACATCAGAGCACCTAAGTATACAAAGCAAGCATTAAGAGATCTGAAGGGAAACAGACTACAACAATAGTAGGTGATTTCAATACCAACTTTAAATAATGAACAGATTATCCAGAAAGAAAATCAATGACAAAATATTAGACTTGAACAACACTTTAGACCAAATGAACGTAACATGCATATGTAGAACATTTCATCCAACAGCAATAAAGTACACATTCTTCTCAAGCATACATGGAATATTCTCCAGGATAGACCATGTGTTAGCCACAAAACTAGTCTTAACAAATTTAAGAAGATTGAATCATACCAAGTATATTTTCTAACTACAATGATGTAAAACTAGAAATCAGTAACAAGAAGAATCATGGAAAATTCATAAATACATGAAAATTAAACAATATTTAACAATTAATGGTCTCTCAAACAATTATTGGGTCAAAGAAGAAATTATAGGAAGTTAAAAAATATCTTTAGACAAACAAAACTGGAAACACTGCAAACCAAAACTTAAGAGATGCAGCAAAAGCAGTTCTAAGAGGGAACTCTACATCATTAAATGCCTATATCAAAAAAGAAGATCTTAAATAAACAACCTACTGTTACTCCTCAAGGAATTAGAAAAAGATGAACAAACTAAGCCCAAAGTTATCAAAAAGAAACAAATAACAAAGATCAGAGCAGAAATAAGTGAAATAAAGACTAGAAAAATAATAGAAATGATCAATGGAACTAAGGGTCGGATTTTTGGAAAAGCTAAGTAAAACTGACAAACTCTTAGCTAGCCTAGGGAAAAAAAGAAGACTCAGATAAATAAAATCAGAAATGAAAGAGGAGACAATAGTTGAAAGATCATAAGAGACTACTATGAACAATTATACGCCAATAAATTGGATGACCTAGAAGAAATGGATAAATTCCTAGACATATAACCTACACCAAGACTAAATAATGAATAAATAGAAATTGTGATCAGACTAGTAATGAGTAAGGAGACTGGATCAGTAATAAAAAATTGGATGACCTAGAAGAAATGGATAAATTCCTAGACATATAACCTACACCAAGACTAAATAGAAATTGTGATCAGACTAGTAATGAGTAAGGAGACTGGATCAGTAATAAAATGTCTCCCATCAAGGAAAAATTCAGGAACAGATGGCTTCATGGCAGAATTCTACCAAACATTTAAAGAAGAGCTAATTCCAATTCTTCTCAAACTCATCCAAAAAACTGAAGAGAAGGGAATACTTCCAAAGTCATTTTAGGAGACTGGCATTAACCTGATACCAAAGCCAGACAAAGAAACGACAAGAAACGAAAACTACAGGCTAATATCCCTGATTATATTAGATGGAAAAATCATCAATAAAATACTAGCAAGCCAAATTAAACAGTACATTAAAAGGATCATTCACCATGATCAAGTGGGATTTATCCGTGGGACACAAAAATGGTTCAATATATTCAAAAGATAAATGTGATTCACCATATTAATAGAATGAAGAATAAAAACTATATTACCATCTCAATCAATGCAGAAAAAGCATTTAACAAAATTCAACATCCTTCATAATAAAAACTCTCAACAAATTAGGTATAGAAGGAATTCACCTCAACACAATAAAGGTCATATAATACAAGCCCACAGCCGACATCATACTCAACAATGAAAAGCTAAAAGCTTTTCCTCTAAGATCAGGAACAAGACAAGGATGTCCAGTCATACCACTTCTATTCAACATAGTACTGGAAGTCCTAGTCAGAGCAATTAGGCAAGAAAAAGAAATAAAAGGAAACCAAATAGGAAAGGAAGAAGTGAAATTGTCCTGTTTGCTCATGTCATCATTTTATATATATAAAGCACTAAACACTCCACCAAAAAATGTTACAATAAACAAATTCAGTAGGGTTGCAAGATACAAAATCAACATACAAAAATCAGTAGCATTTCTATACACTAACAAAAGACTATTGGAAAAAGAAATTAAGAAAACAATCCCATTTCAAAAGCTTTCAAAAGAATAAAATATTTAAGTTTAAATTTAACCAATGAGGTGAAATTTAAACACTGAAAACTCTAAAACACTGATGAAAGAACTTGAAAATGACACAAATAAATGGAAAGATATCCCATGTTCATGAATTGGAAAAATTAATATTAGATGTCCATACTTACCCAAAGTAATCTATAGATTCAATGAAATTCCTATCAAAATTCCAATGTCATTCTTCACAGAACTAGAAAAAACAATCTTAAAATTTGTATGGAACCACAAAAGACCCTGAATTGCCAAAGCAATCTTAAGCAAGAAGAACAAAGCTGAAGGCATTACACTACCTGATTTCAAACTATATTACAAAGCTACAGTAATGAAAACAGTGTTGTACTGGCATAAAAAGACATATTGACTGGGCCGGCCCGGTGGCTCACTCGGGAGAGTGCGGTGCTGATAACACCAAGGCCCCAGGTTCGGATCCCATATAGGGATGGCCGGTTCGCTCACTGGCTGAGCGTGGTGCTGACAACACCAAGTCAAGGGTTAAGATCCCCTTACCGGTCATC